CCTTGCTCTGAGCCCCATACATCCTCTTAAGCCCTCTTCTGCTGCCCTCCATTGCATCCATGGAAAAGACTAAAACTATGGATCACATTTGCAGAAGCTTTTGTCTTTTGTGGAGACAACTTGATTTGCATTTTTGTGCCATTAGATGTGCTGCAAATATTTTGTGTTTTGGGCACACAGGGTTTGCAGTGGAGCTTGAAGCACCTTGCCGATAGAGTGCTAATGACTGTCTGCAATGACTTGCTGATCAAAACCAGGCTGGGTCCTTTCTTTACAGCAGGACCTTTGCTTTTGGTTTGACATACCTGATCAGATCAGATAGTAAGGCTTACCTGTTACCTACTTGATGCCATTGTTTTGCCTTGAGTGCATATTTCTAGGCCTATTTCCAGCTTCTTCAGGTGTCCCTCCCAAAAAGGACATTCACCCACCAGCCAATTGTTTATCATTCCTAAGTGAGGAAGCCTTGATACTCGCATAGCAATCCACCAAAAATTTCTTCTGGCAGTCACCAGCCATGAGCCAGTGGGATGTGCTAGGCAAAGACTGGTCTTCTGTTAGCGGAGGTCTGAATCATCCCTGGCTCTAGGGTGGGGAGAGGAAGGAGATGGGAAGCAAAACTGTCGCTGTAGGGTGGGTGACACTGTGAATATGGAGCAAGGAAAATACATCTTCATTCAAATCCATTAAGAATGGATTTATTTGTAAAGGGTCAGCAAAAGTGCTTCTGAGGTACAGAGTAATGCCAGTAAAACTTTTTTTTAAGCCTTATGTCAAGATGTTACGTGCATTAGATATTTGAATGTTAACACGCTGGTTCCTAGGGGAAGCTGAGGACGTTATTGTATTCCTTCACATCATGGCATAATGCTGTGGCTTGACCTCTGAATCCGTGTGTGCTAACGGGACGATCTTGGCACCATCCTCCACGATGTTTGCAGCACCTGCTGCTCCTACTTAATCTCTGGTTTGGTGTTGCTGATGTCACTGCTAACTTCACAGCTCACAGAAGTGAGGTCTGCCAGAGTCTTTGATGCTTTAGCTGCATTAGAAGCGCAGCAACTGACTCAGAAGCCCGTGAGAAGACAGTCCAACTGGCTACTTTTGTTTTAGGCCACCTGTAGCTATGCCATGATTTATTCATGTGCATTAAAGCTTCAGTCTTGCAGCAGTGCGTACCAAAATGATGGGTTTGTAGTAGCTGTGGTGCCCACAAATTAAGCGAGGCAAGGTTTCCAGCACAAGGCAGTGTACTTTAACAGAGAGGTGGGATATTGCAAGAGAGCAAAGCAAGCCAGACCACAAGCCCATTAAAGTGTGCTGGTATTTTGCTCTGTTCTCTAACTTCAGTGTCACCTCTCCTTTCTTTTATACCATTTCTGTTATTAATTGGGGGGAGGAGGGTCCAATATTGGACCTGTATTAGTTGGCTAATATATGACCTCTAAGGTGACGCCTAATAGTAGTGGTAAAACTGGAAACACAAATACATCCACATTACTTTCTCGCCTTTGGTGAAGTTTAAAAGGTACCTTGGTAAGCCTCTCTTTTTTTCTTTTTCCGTTTTTTTCTTTTTCTTTTTTTTCTTTTCTATCACTAGACTCAACAGCTGCATGTCTCCTAGTCCTGAGATCATCTCCGCCACCCTCCTCCTTTGGGCTGGCACAAGTATTGCTTGGCCTCTTGGCTGAGGCCTGGAGAATTGATACAGCTAGGAGGCAGACAAACCCAGCAAGAGTGGGAACAGGAGGGCTGGGAGCATGCTGGTTTAGGCTGGCTTTGGCAGCACAGCTGACAAACATCAAGCCACAAGCTAAGCCTACGTCTTGCCCTCCCTTCTCTTCAGAAAAATCCTGCTCATGGACCTGCTGCCCACTTGAGTCAGGCCCTGGGAGCTCACTAGTGTCTCACCTCACGTATTAACTTCCTCCGTGAAGGGTGGAAAACGAGCACCTGACAGTGCCCACTGGACCTGCAGAACTAGTGTGCCTTAAGAAGATAAAAGCTTGGGAATAAACTTTCAATTTCCACATCCAACAGATGCTGCCTGCTGCTTCTCTCACTCATTTTTAATATATTGATGCTAGGGAATGAAGGAGAAGTGTTGCAGTATCAAGAACAGGCACAGAAGTTTGCAGGGTCTTGGAGCTGCTCGTACAGCATCCTATGATATGTAAAAGAGTCCTTAATGTTAGGAATGAGGAACAGGGACTGATGATTTTCATTCATAGGCATGAATCCTAGCCTGTGATCCCCAAGTGATGAGAGCCAGTGCAGGTGTACTTGTGATTTCAGGGCTTTGTCCGGTGGGGTCCTGAGCCCCTCCAAGGATGGGGACTGCATGGCCTCCCTACGCAGCCTGTTCCCGTGCTCCTTTCACTGTCCTTGGAGTCAAAAGGCTATAGTTGCACATGCCTTGTATCTTACAGTGATAATTTGGCTCCTTGGGCGAGGCATATAAAAGCCTTTAGGAGCTCAATAAGCAGAAAGGCATCCAGTGGGTTGTCTTAGCAAGTCAAACTGACTTCAGTGGAAAGTCTGACCTGCTTGGAAATCCCGTTACAGAGAGCAAGTTCTTTACATGCCCTGTCCTGGTCAGTTTCTGAGTAAGAGACTGAACAGAACTGAAAACTTTGCTCTGCTATTCATACTGATTCAGAAAGGCAGCCACAAGGTGCACCGGGAAAGAGCTTACATGTTTTTTCACCCGTACCATAGTTGTAGAAAAGGAGGTACAGGCACAGGTTACTCAGAGAGCAAGTTCGCTCTACAGAGG